CAGGGTCCTGGCTAGGATGGAGGTTGCCTTCGGGGACGGGGGAGCAGAGAGGGGGAAAGTCAGTCCAGCCTGGAAGGAGGTGGGCCAGTGAGGTAAGGAGGGTGAGATTCAAGGAGTTGTATTCCAGCCTGCAGTTGGAAAGTTGGCATTGCCCTGGAACATTTGGAAGGGAAAAGCCCACAAGAACTTTCTATCCCCGTGTAGCGGACGGGAAGAGTGGAGGTAGCATCCAATTTCCTCTCTGAGGGGGCACACCCTGCTTCACCCTGTGGGTCTGGCCGCTGGGTAACGGATCTTAGATCATCATCCTTGGAATGCCCAGAGTGTGTCATTAGAGGAGTCAGCAAGCTTTGGTTGCTGGAAGTTTCCGGGAAGCTTTAGGGAATGCCAGTTGCTGCAGCAGGGACTTAAGTGAGGAGGCGGGCGAGGACAGGCTGTTCTCGTAGCATGTATTGTAAGGTCCTGTGGAAATGTCTTCAATGTCTCAAACGTCACTTCCTCGGGAACCCGTCCTGAACCCCGTGCTCGGTCAGGATGTCCATGGAACCTGCTGGTAAACATCCTGTCCTTCTCCTTCCTGGCACTTTCCATGTCTGTAATATGTAGGAACGTGTGTGATTCTCGGATTGATGTCTGTGTCCCTCCCCATTCCAGCACGCTGCTGAAAACAAGAATGGTCATTGCCCCCAGAATGTGGCTCTTCCCCGGGCACAGGGCCAAGTCTGCAGTAGGTACTAATAAATATTTGTCAGATGAGTTATCCCCTTAATGTCCCCTCCTTCCCCAGCCCCCGCCTTACATTAGAGCCAATTACAAAATGAAAGTAAACTTTTTTTCCACTGCCCTGGGACCTGTGTGCTCACTCCAATAAAAACACAAAGCAGGGCAGGAGAGTTCTGCCATCAGAAGGACTAAATTCTAACGGTCACTGCCATTCACTCGCTGAGTGACCTGGGTGCAGTTGCATGCCAGGGCCCCCCCGAGCCTCCGTTTACCCATCCTGTCAAATGATCCAATTGTACTAGAACTCGAGGGTCACCTGCAAACTTTCTCTGATTTTAGAGCCAAGGTCTCGGAGGTCTCCCTGTGTCCAGCAGCCTTGTGGACTAGTGCACTCAGGGTCTCCTCTTGGGGCAGCGGGCGGATTTTGTTGTTGTTGTTATTTACACTGACACGCACATTATATGCGAAAGTCCTGGTTTCCAATCAGGGGGTCACTGGTCCACTCAAGAGAAACAATCCAACTCTATGAAGAGACAACAGGGCTTGTTTTTGCCCCCAAAGTCTTGAATCTAGCCTTGGGTCTGGGCCATCCATGTTGGCAGTAAAATTTGCTTGCTGCTTTCAATCATTGTGACTCAGTAAGGGGAGGGATGACCAATCATCAAAGGGGGACCTGGCCCTAGTCTTGCTCATTGACATGCCCCTGAAAACCTCACTATGCTTGGGATGGAGCTGGAGAGGAAGGACCTTCCAATGTCTGCATCCCTAGCATGGTAGAGGGTGAGGGAGATGAAGCCAAGCAGCATTAGATGAGGAAAAATACCACACTGCTAATCTGATGGGAATCATCAGTGTGAGGCAATGATGTGGCCCTGGATTGCATTAATAGAAGTATGTTATCTAGAATGAAGGAGGTGAATTTTCACTCTCCTTTTAATTTTCACTCTGATGCCCAACCATCCATTCATCCTTCCCCTATGGTAGTACCCTTAGTTCTCCTTTGTAGAATCTCTCCTCCCTACTCTTGGTTCATATATGGTTTGTATGGTTGAGACCCTGTCTCTGGGATCCCAGGCCATTCCGCTTCCCTGGCCACAGGGTTTGGCTCTGATGGGTTCACCCAGCCACGAACCAAAGAGAATCACTGAAACTTTTGCTGGGAATGCTGGGAAAATGAAGTTACTCTTTCCATCTACACTTGAACCTGAGAGGAGGTGAAGCTGAGTTTCTAAAGCCTTTTGTCTCTAGGAGAAGAGCCTGAAAATAAAACCGTGACAAAGGAAATGGAGACCGACCTCACTGGAGCACCTGGACCCAGCCATCCCTGAAGCTGTTGTGCGTGAATCATTTCTTTTTTAGTGAAATCATTCTGGATGAAGTCCTAACTGGCACTGTGGGCCAGACCATCCTGAGGTTTGTCTTCATGTCAGGCTTCAAATGTCCAGGAGATGGGTGATCCCAATGGTCCTAAGACTCAAAACCCCATCTCGTGAACAACAGTTCAGAGGGGTGGACAGGTTCATTCTGGAAGAAAAGTTACCTTCGAATATTTGCACAGTGGATGCTCTGATTGTCTACAACTGTGTGACAAACGACCTGAAACTTAGTGGCTTAAACAACCACCATTTTATTGTCTCTGGTTTTGGGGTTCAGGAATTCCAACAGAGTTCGTTTGGGTCATTCTTTTGTTCTGTGCATCATCGACTGAGGTCACTTGGTGGCATTCAGTTGGTGAATGGGCTGGACTGGAAGATCTAAGACAGCTTCACGCACATATCTTGTGCCCTGGCAGGGATGGCTGGCTGGAGGGCTGAGCTCAGCTGAAGCTGGTGACCAGAGCTCCCACATGTGGCCTCTTCAGCATGGCAGCCTCTGGGCAGTGAGGCTCCTTCCATTCAGCTCAGGGCTCCAAAGGTGCGAGGACCGAGAGTCAGGCATGGTAGCTGCGAGTCTCTCAAGGGGAAACAATGAAGGCCCTATGTCTTGATGGGAGGAGTCAGTGACTTGGCAGGCATCTCTAATCTTCAGACTAGTTCTGGGGAATAACATATATAATATATATTACTATATTATATATAATATAATATTATATATTAATATAATTATTAATATAATAACATTATATTAATAATATACATTATTATATATTATATATTATTAATATCGATAGTATTACTATAAATACAATATTAGTATGTTATTAATATTAATGATATATAATATGTTATATATATATATACACTTGCTATATTGCTATATATACTTTTTTTTTGAGAGAGAGCACACAGCAGGGAGTGGAGAGAAAGGCAGAAGGAGAGGGAGACAGAGAGTCTTAAGCAGGCTCCACACTCAGCATGGAACCTGACTCGGGCTCGATCTCACGATCCTGAGACCATGACCTGAGCCAAAATCAAGAGTCAGATCCTTAACCCACTGAGCCACCCAGGCGCCCCACGGGGAATACCGAGCACCTGCTATGTACCAGGCCTGGTGCTAAGGACATCCTGAATTTATCTCACTTAGACAGTTCAACGAGGCAGACACTGCTTTTTTTTTTTTTTTTACAGATTTTATTTACTTGACAGAGAGAGACACAGGGAGAGAGGGAACACAAGCAGAAAGAGTGGGAGAGGGAGAAGCAGGCTTCCCACAGAGCAGGGAGCCCGATGCGGGGCTCGATCCCAGGACCCTGGGACCATGACCTGAGCTGAAGGCAGACGCTTAACGACTGAGCCACCCAGGCGCCCCCAGACACTGCTTTTTATAGACGAGACCCTGGAGGTTCATGGCCTGCTCAGGGGCACAGATGTAAACGGCAGCACTGGGATTTGAACCCAGGACTTTCTGACTCCACACTTAGTGTTCATGCCGTGCCGAAAAGAGGAAATTAGGCTTGTCCTCTGTGGTCCCAAGGGCAGAACCTGGCCAAGGATGGGGCTGCAGGGATAAAGGTTCTGCTCCAGATGGGAAAGGCCTTTCTTGCAATTCGAGCTGGCCATGACCGAAAGGGACCCACTTGGAAGATAGTTTCCTGTCACCTGTCACCTCACAGAAACAGAGGCTGGTGATTCCAGCATCAGATAGGGGGGTAGAGAGAGGTTAGGTCCCTTCTTCTCAGGGAGCCTAGGATTCCACAGTTCCTGTCCCAGGTATCATCTGTGTGATCTTAATCTTTCTTTTCTTTTTTTTTTTTAAAGATTTTATTTATTTATTTGAGACAGAGACAGAAGGGAGTGAGAGGGGGGAGGGTCAGAGGGAGAAGCAG